CATACGCTGCAACCCTCTTGCTTGAGTGACTCTCGTGTACAGAGTGAACTTCACTGTAAATGAATATACTTTTTTATATTTCAGATAAAGATGTATTTCATGGTATTTTTTGGTCATTTCTAGTACTCCTATTAATGCTGGAATGGTGGTTTTGTTATAATACTGCATCCCTGTAAATTCTATTTTCAGATGCTTATATTTACAGTGTTACTCATATTCTCTCGATGAAATGTTTTTATCAGACGAAATGTTTGTGTCTGTAAGAAACCATTTTTGTTCTTTGAAGTCAATTACGACAATATCTTGTCTATTTACCTTGTACAGTGCGATCGTTATAGAAGGTAAATTCCCATAGCAAAGCAAAACTATCATCTTCTAGAACTAGTGGTGTCTTTTGTCCAACCATATTCTTTCTGTATCGGATAGGTTATAAGGTTGTCATATTTTTCCTACCATATATTGCCTATTTTTTAGTTCTTTTGCTGATAGGATAAAGCATGTTTAGAATAAATCTAACTGAAACGACAATATGATCTACTGCATTGCTTAAAATATAACTGAGATTATTATTATTATTATTATTATTATTATTATTATTATTATTATTTCCTTTGTTTTCTGATGTGTACTCATTTATTTCTTTCCGGGTCCCGACCAGAGACCTAAGGTCAGAAATGGTATCATGACATTTTTCAGTAAGCATTTTCTGAAAAAAAAAACCCAAAAAACATATTATCACACACATTTTACATAGATAAAGCCCTTCTTAAGGTATGAGATTTTCTTGTGAGTACAATTTTTTTGTATTTTTACGGCTTAGGGTAGCAGGATCCCTTCACTGAGTCTATCAGAAACTGTTCCACTAAATCCGAGGGCTCCAACTACAGCTAGAATTATTGATGTCCTCATGAGCCACTTTTTTGTGATTTCGATTTCAAGATCTTTGTATTTTGATATTTTTTTGAAGATCTTCAAAAATACATTACAGTCTGCAGGGACTGTCATGTCAATAAAAAGGCACATTTTGTTTTGTTTTTTCCGGTATCTGATCACGATGTCTGGGCGATTAGACTTAATTCTTCTGTCTGTGTGTATTGTAAAGTCCCATAAACTCCTATCTCTGTAACCGGGTCTGGGTGGTGTTCATACTAATTCTTTGCAGTTTCCTTTCCATAAAAGTTGCATATTTTCCAAGGTAGATTTTGGTCCACTCTGTCATGCCGGGTTTTATATCCAATGGGTGCTAATAACGTGCAACTGGATACAAGATATTCAAATGTTTCTGGATATTTATCACGGAATCTGCATTTTGTGCTATTGCAAATTTTTCAGTATGTGTACTTGGTAATTTCTAGTTAGCAAGCATTGATCTTGTGCAGCAAGAATAAAACCCTTGGTTTCAGCTTTTAACACTGCACTCTGTAGCCACTGATGTGTACGGAGTTTGTCTACATCAGCTTATTCGGTACAAACAGAATATTGATTGTGAAGCGCCAGTGCTTCTGTATTTGGGCCATTGTATTTGCTTTTGATTTCTTTTTTTAAGGTTTTTGCCGCTGCAGTTGGTGTACTATGCATTACTTGCATTTATTCGCCCACTATTATTATTATTATTGATAGATGTACTGAAAATCTGCCTATCCTTTTTTAACCCCAATAAGAGATTTTTTTAATTCAATTCACCAAAAGCAAGGTGGTAATGCCACTAAGATGCAAGGGGCTACTGGAAGTGAAAGAGAATCGAAAAAAGACTTTAGATAGAACCAGAAATCCAGTCCTAAACAAAACAAAGGATAAACTTCTACTCATTTTGAAAAGACCGGGGAGGAATGTGAACCGGACGATAAGAGAAACACATTTGAAAACAGAGGTAATCGTAATATTAGTTGCTTCCTTATAAGGAAACATTTGACATTCGTTGACATGGAGGCCAGTGCTACTGTCTGAAATTAACGAAATCATTTTTATTAGAAAAATGTTTCAGTAAACCAGGTTTCTCAATTCGACTGTTATCATTCTTTCTAGTACTGATGGTGGTGGGGGGTTCCTTCTTAACCTTTTGTCCGAAGTAGTGTAGAACGTCAAAAAGCCGGATTATGTTATTTATTTTCTGGTCAAAAAGAAAACTACGTCATATATCAATCCGACATTTAATCTCCTTCGAACTAGTTTCATTTTTAGAAGTGACACGATTTGTCCAATAATGTTTCCATTGGAGGAAGCATTCCTGGAATTCCTTATTGTGAATAGCGAAGAGCTGCCTCGTCGAATTCTGCTGGATTGGAAACTAGTTCCTTTCAAGTAAGATTTGATTTTTGGAAAAGGGAGAAAGTTGCAAGAAATTATCACGGAATCTGCATTTTGGGCTATCGCAAATTTTTTCAGTATGTGTCCTTGGTAATTTCGATTCTTTCTTTCGTTCGTTCTTTCTTT